TCCTTGGAAAGCCACTGATGAACTCAAATATACTCTAACTTCTAGTTCTATTTTTGTCAACATGAATTTGGAATTTACGCACGAATTACCCAACACAATAAGCATGCACTTGATCTGTTCGCGGATAATTTCTGAACGACGAACCTCACTATGTCCACTGTAGAGAAATCTGATGCCCAGTTAAGTAAGGTATTTTGTGACTGCTTTGAATCGATGGAATCCACTGATACTCCAGATGAAATGAGTTGACAAAGACGGCCATTACTGAAATTAGATAACCTTTCCTTAATCTCCATGCCTTCGTTGAGATCGAAACGACTACGGCCGCGGCCACAATTTGTGCCTGCTTTGCGGTACAAATTTATAGAAATTATGCATCAATCACATCACCTAGCGATCGCAAGACCATAGGTCATAGGAGCTCTATGACGCGCGTGGCACACCTCGCGATTTGACTGGACCATTGCTCTGGCTTTCGCACTTATATTTTTGATATGACAATGAAGATCAAATCCGTTTCAAACAGTAAGAACAAATAAGGAAGTATCGTGATCAATAAAGCAAAAAAAAATGAAGAAAGACAACGAAGAATGCAGAGGAATGAGGCCGCGGCCAAGACTGTGTCGATTGTCCTATTCGTTATGTAGCGACAATGCGATTTCAAGGTTCACCCTGTCCTCCCCGTTATCTGCCCGCTGTATGGCGGATTCTGAAGACAGAATTGAAGTGTGTGAATGAACTAGGTTCAAGCACCCTATTGACACTATCAACTAGAGGTGGTCAGACTGCTACGAAACTTCTCACGCGATGTTCACTCCGTTGACAAGAAGTCATGGGATCGATCCCTTCGCGCATTGCTGAAAAGATATTTTACATGTGACTCGAAGCAACAACCCCAGTAAGTCCATATAACTGCTACTGTTTTAGTGAAATATGCATGGGCCACGCTACAAGGCACTGAAAAGTCGCGAGTTTTGGTCCGTCCGCCTTTTGGTTGACACCCCCCCCCCATTGCTAGCCGTGGAGATCGCAACAACGTGAATTACGACGTAGCGGTAAGATAGCCTATGGATTCAATTGATGTAATACACGCATCACACTGATGCGGTAGTGTTCATTTTAGCTCATACGGACATGTCCCTTCCTCATCTCAAATGAACGAGAAGGAGGGGTCCTTGTTAAAGAATAGGCGGTTTGCTTCGCTTCCTTCCGCTGTTACCCTATCAATCGATGGGGTTGTTGCTTTGATCACTCTTGTTTCCAGTTGCCTGTATACGATATGAAAAACCTCGTTGTGCATACAAGTCCTCCAAGACGTTTTGCTGCCACAGGGCAGAGGGCGCAAAGCTTACGCAGGGACAAGAGGTTCCGGTGGTTGT